CACCACACACGCCCTCATTTTATTTGACTTTACAGACCCCAGTTTTGTTGACGTGTCAGCATTAAGTTTATGTGATAAGATTATAAATGAACACAAACTCATCTTTGTTTCTATAAACATTAAACTTGGATTTTTTTTAGAACCTATGGTTAGATGAATGATGTGGGCAAGCGTCTATGTGTCCCATTAAAAATCCAAAACAAACTTACTAAGGTAATACGGATAACTTGTTTATACACCTCACTGGTCATGAGGACATGGTGGGATGTCAGCCTATGAATAGAGAATGAGAAGCTTACGTTTTTAGTGAGCTAAACCACGCAATACTTCTCACAGCAGGCAGCAGGAACCTACGCGCCCATGCGTTTACCATGCGTTTTTGAGCAGAGCTATTTACTCCAGGGGGCAGAGTGTTAAGTTACATGACCCCTTTCTTGAGATACACAGTCTAGGGGGGAAAGAAGACAGAGAGGAATAGGATAGACTCAGTGCTCTGCGACTTCAGGAGCACGACAGTACATTTAGACATGCTGTACTTCTCAAGGAACACACAGAGGAGACAGGACTCCAGTTTTCAGGACGGGAGAAATGGACAGGGTGCTGGATTATTCAATTTTATTATTACTTTTTCTTGTCAACTTGACACAAATGAGAGTCAAGAGGGAAGAGAAGTCCAGCTGAGGCACTATGTAGCTCAGTCAGACTGGCCTGTGGGCGTGTCTCTGGGAGCATTTTTCTCGACAGCCCACCATGGGCGGCGCATTTCTAGTCAGGTAGGTCCAAGCTGTGTAAGGAAGCTGGCTGACCACGAGCCAGGAGAGCAAGCCAGAAAGCTGTGCTCCTCTGGGCCCTCTGCTCCTGCCTGGGCCTGGCTTCCTATTCTGATCCTTCCCGCCCCCCAGACTATGACCCAGAACTGTGAGCTGAAATGAATAAACCTTTTCTGCCCCAGCTCATTTGGTCATGGAGTTTATCACAACAAAAGAGGTCAAACTAAAGGGCCAGGGAGAAGTGGGAGTTAGAGCTGGCTTGGGGAACATCGAGCAGGCTAGTTAACTGAAGCACGCTCCACATCCAGGGCCTGCCAGGCTATCACAGCAGGGTGACAGAGCCACTGAAGGTTTCCCTCCAGGAGTCATATGGTCCATCTGTTTCTGTAGGATGCTGGAAGGCTAGGTTGGATGGCGGACTGGAGGCTTAGATGACATGGAGAAGTTTTGTAACAACCTCTAGGTGCTTGTGTACAATGATTAGAGGAGAAGAATACATATTCAAGACCTCACTATGCGTAAAGGCATTTACTTAAGCATATTAACTATAACATCCCATTTACTGTAATGGCCATAATTGCTTTGAAAAGTTGACAACATCAGCTGTTACTTTTACTTATGGAAACTGAAACTCTAGGAGCCTAGAAGTTTGGCTAAGGAGACCAAGCCAGCACAAAGAAGGTCAGGAGGAGAGCAGCAAAGCCCATGGTATTTACACCATGCCACACTGAGCAAGGACATCCATTCCATCGTTCCCTTCACTCAATTATGCCGCAGCCTCCAGCACAGACCTCAAGGCCATCACAATAAAGTGACAGTGACAAGAGAGGCTCCCTTTGGAAGATGAAGTAGGGAGACTCTTCCACCCCTCAACAACTAAAGACTTCTTTCTTCATGCTGGACTGCACTCCCAGCACAGGAGACTGTGTCAGCTGCTTTCCCATCCCGAAGAGCAACTCTGGGATCTGGCACTTTAGGGACAAAGGAGAAAATCTGAGTCCGTCCAAACTTGTGACCAATGCTACATATTTTCTAATGTCAACTTCTCCACAGAAACAAGACAATTGGTGTGAGTCTAAGATTGCAACTTAAGAGTTGTTTCTACCTATGAGCCCCATTCCCAGTCCCAAGCAAAATTCTGCTGCTCATTGGTGGAACTCGAGGATGGTCCCAGGATCTCAGGAGATGGCTTCAGGTCATCTCTCCTGCCTGTCCTCTCCTGTTCCTTTATCCTTACTGTGAATTCTACACACAGTATCACACTGTGAATTCTACACACAGGATCACACTATGAGTTCTACACACAGGATCACACTGTGAACTCTACACACAGGACCACACTGTGAATTCTACACACAGGATCACCCTGTGAATTCTACACACAGGACCACACTGTGAACTCTACACACAGGACCACACTGTGAACTCTACACACAGGATCACACTGTGAGTTCTACACACAGGATCACACTGTGAGTTCTACACACAGGATCACACTGTGAGTTCTACACACAGGATCACACTGTGAGTTCTACACACAGGACCACACTGTGAACTCTACACACAGGACCACACTGTGAATTCAACACACAGGATCACACTGTGAGTTCTACACACAGGATCACACTGTGAGTTCTACACACAGGATCACACTGTGAGTCCTACACACAGGATCACACTGTGAGTCCTACACACAGGATCACACTGTGAGTCCTACACACAGGATCACACTGTGAGTCCTACACACAGGATCACACTGTGAGTTCTACACACAGGATCACACTGTGAATTCTACACACAGGATCACACTATGAGTTCTACACACAGGATCACACTGTGAACTCTACACACAGGACCACACTGTGAATTCTACACACAGGATCACCCTGTGAATTCTACACACAGGACCACACTGTGAACTCTACACACAGGACCACACTGTGAACTCTACACACAGGATCACACTGATGAGTTCTACACACAGGATCACACTGTGAGTTCTACACACAGGATCACACTGTGAGTTCTACACACAGGACCACACTGTGAGCTCTACACACAGGACCACACTGTGAACTCTACACACAGGATCACACTGTGAGTTCTACACACAGGATCACACTGTGAGTTCTACACACAGGATCACACTGTGAGTCCTACACACAGGATCACACTGTGAGTCCTACACACAGGATCACACTGTGAGTCCTACACACAGGATCACACTGTGAGTCCTACACACAGGATCACACTGTGAGTTCTACACACAGGATCACACTCTGAGTTCTACACACAGGATCACACTGTGAGTTCTACACACAGGATCACACTGTGAATTCAACACACACAGGATCACACTGTGAATTCAACACACAGGATCACACTGTGAATTCATACACAGGATCACACTGTGAATTCTACACACAGGATCACACTGTGAGTTCTACACACAGGATCACACTGTGAGTTCTACACACAGGATCACACTGTGAGTTCTACACACAGGATCACACTGTGAGTTCTACACACAGGATCACACTGTGAATTCAACATACAGGATCACACTGTGAGTTCTACACACAGGATCACACTGTGAATTCTACACACAGGATCACACTGTGAATTCTACACACAGGATCACACTGTGAATTCAACACACAGGATCACGCTGTGAATTCTACACACAGGATCACACTGTGAGTTCTACACACAGGATCACGCTGTGAGTTCTACACACAGGATCACACTGTGAGTTCTACACACAGGATCACACTGTGAATTCAACACACAGGATCACGCTGTGAATTCAACACACAGGATCACACTGTGAGTTCTACACACAGGATCACACTGTGAGTTCTACACACAGGATCACACTGTGAGTTCTACACACAGGATCACACTGTGAGTTCTACACACAGGATCACACTGTGAGTTCTACACAAAGGATCACACTGTGAATTCAACATACAGGATCACACTGTGAGTTCTACACACAGGATCACACTGTGAATTCTACACACAGGATCACACTGTGAATTCTACACACAGGATCACACTGTGAATTCAACACACAGGATCACGCTGTGAATTCAACACACAGGATCACACTGTGAGTTCTACACACAGGATCACACTGTGAGTTCTACACACAGGATCACACTGTGAGTCCTACACACAGGATCACACTGTGAGTCCTACACACAGGATCACACTGTGAGTTCTACACACAGGATCACACTCTGAGTTCTACACACAGGATCACACTGTGAGTTCTACACACAGGATCACACTGTGAACTCTACACACAGGATCACACTGTGAGTTCTACACACAGGATCACACTGTGAATTCAACACACAGGATCACACTGTGAATTCAACACACAGGATCACACTGTGAATTCTACACAGGATCACACTGTGAATTCTACACACAGGATCACACTGTGAGTTCTACACACAGGATCACACTGTGAATTCTACACACAGGATCACACTGTGAGTTCTACACACAGGATCACACTGTGAGTTCTACACACAGGATCACACTGTGAGTTCTACACACAGGATCACACTGTGAGTTCTACACACAGGATCACACTGTGAATTCAACACACAGGATCACACTGTGAATTCAACACACAGGATCACACTGTGAATTCAACACACAGGATCACACTGTGAATTCAACACACAGGACCACACTGTGAATTCTACACACAGGATCACACTGTGAATTCTACACACAGGATCACACTGTGAATTCAACACACAGGATCACGCTGTGAATTCTACACACAGGATCACATTGCGAATTCTAAAGCAAGCTCTCCTCAACTGCCAGAAACCGCAGCCCTGTCTTGTTCCTTAGGCCAGTATCTCTGATCTTGAACCCTGTCCATACCCTGGTTCCTTACATTTTTATTAAGTTTTAAACATTGCATGACCTCATAATGACTCTGGCTGCTGGGAATTGCCGAGCTTCCCGCATGCTGCCTGGGCCCCTGGAACTGGCCCAGATCTGCACCACTCTAGGTGGTCCAGAGACATGGAAATCTCTGTCCTTTTGACACATGTAGCACACGCACAGACCACAAGTGAAAGTGCCCGATGTCTGTCCTACCACTGGCATGAGTGGCAGGCACGCGCCAAGCATTCTTTGCCTAGGAATGGCCAGCGTTTCTCATCCTGCTGTTACTCCGGGAAGAGGAAAGCAGCCACCACCCACCTGCAGTGCATCCCCCAGGTCTGCTGTGCTGATATCTGGGTCCTCCGTGGTGTTGAAAGGCACGGGAGTTATTCGTACAAGGACGAGCACTCGAGGCTCTGGGTATCGCCACAGCATCATCCCGGGGCTCTCTTCTGTTTCATTATAAAACAAGACTTCATAGGTACCAGGGAGTTTCAGAGGTTCTGCCAAATGAAAGCAAAATTGCAAGGTTTTAAAAAGGAACATGCTGATTTCTCAGAGAGGGAAGAAAAGGAAATCACATAAAGAAGCTAACTGATCAGTTTTAAAATAGATTTGAGGTGGGAAAAGCCAATTTTAAGAGGTAACGACTGGTATACACTACTTTCATACTGTAGTATGAATGAATGAACCTCCCAGTGCTGCATGGTGACATTTAGGGAGCTCATTTCTAGCTGCCCCTGGGCACACGTGCTCTGACGCTGATACTGCTGGGACTCACCAGCATCCTGTATGTACTGAAAGACGCCTGTCCGCAGGTCATCCGAACTTTGCTGAGTCTTATCCACAGGAGACGGCACTTGGGGTGCTGATTCGGGAGCGGGCACGTCAACCTTTCCCTCCTCCTCAAGATAGCCACTGAATAATTCATGCAGAAGGGTCAAGCAATTCAAATGCTCTTGACCCCAGAAGACCTTCAAAAGGGTAAGACAACATTAACAGTCTTCAAACAAAAACATTTCTTGAGCATAATTAGTTAAAAATCATATTTGAATTAATGTGAGACTATAATCATGTTCAGTATACTTACTGATAATAAACTATAGTTTCCAAGAAATAATAATTCATTGTTTGAAATTCTAATACTTGAATAAGCACATAACAACAAGAAAAACATTATGGATTGTGTGACTAACAATAAACTTTAAGCTTCAGATTATGATGATATGACATTGGTGTGAAGTATTTGTGAATGCATTCAGCAAAGAGGAAAAGTCTAAGACTAGGACACACAGATTCTCTAGGCCAACTCTTAACAAAATGGTAACAGCCTCATGGAATAGCTTCTTCCACTTGTCATGAGGTCAAATAATCCCAGCCAAGGCTGCTTTTTAACAAGAGGGATGCTGACCAACGGACTTAAACTGAGAGGCTTCCCAAAGTCTGCGTTTAGTGAGACTGTGAACATACTCCACTCTAACAATCCGGTGTTTTTTGTCAGAGGAGTTTGAGAGCCCAAGGATGCAGAGCTCTGTAATGGTCTTATGACCAGTGGGCACGGTGACTAACGTATGTCCACGGAAGAGCCTGTCTGCAGTGGGCACGGTGACTAACGTATGTCCACGGAAGAGCCTGTCTGCAGTGGGCACGGTGACTAACGTATGTCCACGGAAGAGCCTGTCTGCAGTGGGCACGGTGACTAACGTATGTCCACGGAAGAGCCTGTCTGCAGTGGGCACGGTGACTAACGTATGTCCACGGAAGAGCCTGTCTGCAGTGGGCACGGTGACTAACGTATGTCCACGGAAGAGCCTGTCTGCAGTGGGCACGGTGACTAACGTATGTCCACGGAAGAGCCTGTCTGCAGTGGGCACGGTGACTAATGTATGTCCACGGAAGAGCCTGTCTACAGATGCTCACAGAAGCATTACTGGGAATAGTCCAAGATGGAAAGGCCCGAAACTCCCTCAGCTGGTGAGTGGATGGTAAGAAGATGGTCTGAGGTTGACCATGATGATAAGGATCACAAAACCCTGAATACAGAAACAACAACAAAAAACCAAACCTTTGAATTAAACTGTTGACACAGGTAAATGAGATGGCCTGGGACCCATTCTTCAATAATGCTGTTAAGATGGGTGCCATCATACTATCCGCTATACACATCCTTGTCACACAAAAACTTAAGTTTTAGTGAAGTGAACAAAATAATAGGCTAGTTAAAAACTTGTGGGGAAGATGCAGCTGACCCCTACAGACCTGTAGCAGACCACCTCTTAAATCCATGGCTATTTTTGGGATGGACTGCTGTGGGCCTGGATTGCCACTGTGTTTACACCATTTAGTTTCCAGGTTGACCGTAGCAGAGAATGGTCCTATCAGAGTCCGGCTTCTTTCTTTGAGGCTTGTTTTAAGGAGGAAATCGCTTATGCTGAGGAGGAGTGACGATCCAAGGCTTATGCCTGAAGGAGACAGACAGACGTGGTGTATAGTTTAATTACAACAACAACAACAACAAAAGGTTAGGGAAAGGACTAGGCATATTTTAAAGGCAGGGAGTCTTCCTTCACAGGGTCTTTCCCCTTTCCCGGATGTCTCTCCACCAGTTTTGTGCCATTATTACTGAATTCTGAAGCAGGTAGACTCCTAACAAAGCGATATTTGCCAAAGCATTATGACTCTTTCCAAGCGTGCACAGTTTAGGGTTTATGAGTGGAGACATTTTCATTAAATTTTGCAAGTTTTTCAAACAAGTGCATTAAGAATAAGGACAGCTGCTTCATTTGTGTGTTGACGTGAAAGGGCAATTTTCTGTGACTTCTTACAGCAACAGAGTACAGTATGTTACTGTGCTAGACACTCAAGTTTTGGGCTGGCCCATGCTAAAATTCAAAACAGTCAAAACACGTAACATGTGCTTTCTAAAGACTTTAGCTTAATCCAAACTTCACACCTCATAACCACTTCAAGTTTACAAAGTCTTAAAAACAGATAGTGGCAGGTTAGATTTATGAGAAAAAGTATATGCTATAGTTCAAAGTAAATATACCAGGAAAGGAGTACACTTTAAAATGCAGGCTTCCTTTTGAACTTGATGGAAGAGTGTGGATCAAAACCTTTTCATAAAGCCTATAGCAGACGTGAAGATATTTAGATGCACGTTAAGTGGTGAGTTCACTTTCCTCCCAAGAAACTCATACTCTAAATTGTCACTGTGAATATTGAATTTCACCAGGCCATATATGTAATGCTCAGGGCTTATTTTCCTAACGCTATTTGATCCTGCAAAAAAGATGAAAGATTAAGAAACACCTTGGGCCCATGGTATATGCATATTTTAAAGTACAATCCCCACACTGACAGTTCAGTTCTGTGGAGAACTGAAAACGTCATATGTTTTATGTACTTGTTGTGGAAATAAGAGATGCAACTTTAAGTCCGCTGTAGAAAGTGTCAGAGCACAAGTGTTTATCAAATCTTTTTATCAAACATGTACCACTGAAACTTCTCCTTCTTCACAATTACCTTTAAGTTTTTCATTTTTTTAAGACAAGGCTTTGCTAGCTAAGTACAACAGGCTAGCTTCAGACATATAGAGGTCTGACTGCCTCAACCTCTGGAATCCTGGGAGCAAAGGCATTCACTGCCATGCCCAGGTGGTTATCTTAATTTGAAGCTACGTTTCACTTACACAATAAAAAACAAACAAATGAAAAGTAAAGACCTAGAAACAGGCTCAAACTTACTCCCCAATTTAAAAGCGTCTTTGTCACAGGAGTTCCTGTGTCTCCTGACAACTGTGTTGATCTGTGTGACACAGTATACAGCCCGTCAATTCCTACTTCATTGTTTCAAGTTCCATTCTCTCTCACTTTGAGTGAGAGGGTACTTTTGAGTCATCAAGGAAAAGAGGCTTTGTGGTCTAAGAGCAGATGGGGCTGTCACATCTCAGCTCTTGCCACTGAGCATGGCAGCAGCTGGTCAGGACCTGTCCCACAGGGTGGACTTGACAGTTTTTAGAATATGTTCTCCAAGTTCCTGATTTGCCAAGCCGGAAAGAAAAGTACCCAAATCTCTGACACTTCTCATCTTACATCACCGTAAGAGAAGAAAGATGAATGGAAAACCTTGGAAGCTACTTGGTCTAGGTTTTTGTCAAACAAACAAACAAAGAACTTTGAAATATTTTAGGATGTTTCAATACATCCTTCACACAGTCATGCTCTTTATTTACTATTTTTATTTATTTATTTTTGAGTCAGGGTCTTGCCTTGTAGCCCTGACTGACATGGAAACTTGCTTTGTAGAGCAGACTGGCTTTGAACTCCCAGAGATCACCTGCTTCCACCTCTCAAGGGCTGGGACTACAGGTGTGCACACCACACTCAGCTATATCTTATTTAAATTCTCCTCTTCCCCCATGCTGTCTTTCCCCTGGCCTACAACCCAAGCTAGAGTGCCAATGAGTGTAAGTGTCAAGACTTTTCTTAATCTGTAACCGACCTTCCAGTTTTCTTGTCGCATGTGACTTTGAGATTCTGAATCTCAACTCTTCCGGGGCCACCTGCCAATTTTAGTTAATCTTGTTTCCCCATGAGCAGAATGAGGCTTGGGCATTGCCCACGGGGGAACCAAAGCAGAACCCCAAGGGCATCATACCAGACATGTGATCCGTCTGTTTCACTGCTATGTACAGTAACTGAGGGCTTTGTCTGTCAGATTTTACACTCACTATAGAGTTACCCTGGGTGGAGGGGAGATTCTTGGAGATTAAGTAGACATCTCTTGATCTAACTTTCACACACTGATGTTACTATCCACAATGATTATTATTATTATTTTTTTGTTGTTTTTTATGAGACAAGGTTTCTCTGTATTGTTTTGGAGGCTGTTGGTCTAGCCTGGCCTCGAACTCACAGAGATCCGCCTGCCTCTGCCTCCCGAGTGCTGGGATTAAAGGCGTGTGCCACCACCGCCCGGCTTCCACAATGATTATTGCTATGTCGTGTGATAACGGTGGCCTTCTAGTCCCCTGCTTTACAAGTTGTCTTTGCATTAGTGTTAGCATACTAAATACTTTATGATTCAAAATTCATTATTATTATCATCATTATTTGGTTTTTCAAGACAGGGTTTCTCTGTGTAACAGCCCTGGCTGTCCTGCAACTCACTCTGTAGACCAGGTTGGCCTGTAACTCTTTAGAGATGCATCTGCCTCTGCCTTCTGAGAGCTGGGATTAAAAGTGTGCACCACCATGCCTGGCTCAATAATATTCTTATTTACTACTTAAAATGAACCAGCTTTTGTCCCTGGGAACTAAGGATCTACATCATTTGGGGATAAACTTGTTTACTTCCTAGCCTTGTTATTGCAGAAGAATGGTAGTAGCTTAAGCCCAGTTCTGAATGGCAGGGATGCCTTCTACTGCTTGGGTTCACGTCTTCCAGACCCTCTGTCTCAGCCAGGGTTTTTATTGCTGTGAAGGGATACCACGGCCATGGCCAGTCTTAATAAGGAAAGCATTTAACTGGGGCTGGCTTGGTTTCAGAGGTTCAGTCCATTACCACGGTGGGACACATGGTGTCGCGCAGGCAGACACAGTGCTGGGGGAGGGGCTGAGAGTTCTACACCTGGATGCACAGACAGCAGGAACACGGAGCAACACTGGGCCTGGCTTGGTCATTTGAAACCTCAAAGCCCACCCCAGGTGACACGCTTGCTCCAACAAAGTCACACTTGCCAACAGGGCCACCCACTCTGCCTCCTAAGTGCAGAGACTAAAGGCTAAGCCATCACACCCTGTTGGTCAAGTTTTTTTTTTTTTAAACTTCAAATTCAGAAATTAGCTTTTCAGCAAAGTTATGTCCTTTACCTAATTGCCACAGACCCAGGTAGGTATATTCTCAACGTCGAGTACACTGACAGTGGTACAATCATAGATGTTCTTTGAAACCCAGCGGTTTCTCCTCTAACAACTTCGTGTCTGTTCCAAGAGCCAAGGCTGCCTTCAGTAACCATGTGATTGGGTAATTCTGACTGTGTAACTTCTGTCTCCTCTCCTTTAAAGAAATGCTTTTCTGTTTAAGTTTCCAATCGAACTACCTCTTCCAAAATTCTGTGTTTATATTTTTAATTTGTTTTTGAAAACCAACGGCAGAGGTTTAATTAGAGTAAATGAGGCGTAGCAGCATTGAGGCGCAATGTCAGAAGTAACGGATGTGACAAATGGCATCTTGCTTTGTTTGCATATTGACATACTTTTCAAGTGAGTACAAAAATTACATTCAAGGAACAAATAGTCTTATGACCTTCAAAATACTCCTTTAGAAGACCAATAAATGCAAACCATTTGCTTTGAAAACTATTTAAAAGCACTGCCAGCATGTCAGCGTCAGGATGTAACAGACCCCATGTAACACTCCTCCCTTCTGCTCGCCGTCTGCGCCAAGTGCGACCTAAGCTGAGCCCATGAAGACTGAGTTTGCCAGCATGCTCAGTGACAGCATGTGCGTGCAAAGCAGAACCAGGCAGGTGTTTGGTTTTGTGTTTTATCCAGCTGGAAGGAATCTTGGGCTACTAAAAATCAACAAGGTTATGTTAGAAATATCCAGAAGCAAATACATTTGCATAACAGCGAAGTATCAGGATGCTTAAAAAAAGAAAGAACAAAATCTTTTAAGTATGATTCACAGAGATATGACTAAACTGCCAGAGAGCAAAATCTTTCCATTTCATATCCCTTCAGGCAGTTATTCTGAGGCACATGTGTGTTTTAAGCCTAAAAACAAAACAAAACAAAACAAAAAAAAAACCAGAAACGAAAACACCTTGTTTTCCATTCTCAAACAGTGTGCGTAAATTTGTTGGATCCTACTTATATTCAATTTTGTAATAAGCCTATGTAAACATAGAACCAGTTGGTGTTTTAAAACATGGTGAATGAAGAGTAACAGTGCCCAGAACAGAACAACAGGAGGTGAGAGGTTGCCGGAGCTGTCTCCAAGGCAGGGAGACCTTAGAGTCCCCAGGACCCCTCAGCCAGTGCTCCTTAGAGAATACGTTGGGATTCCTGCTTTAACCCTTGCCTGGCCTTCTGAATTCAAGAAGCCAGGAAAAAAAGCTAGAAGAGGAAACTTCCTTTTCTCCTTTCCATCTAAAAGGAGAATTCCTTGTGAAAGAAGAAATGTCTTCTACAGGGCTGTTCACGCTTGGCCTTTGTCTTGGGAAGGTGTATTTGTCTTAGAAACTCTAGGATCTTAGAAAACCACAGTGAAAATCCCCCCCCCAAATCACAGCTTTTTCCTCCCCCGCAGGCCGCCGCCATGCTCTCCATCTTAACACTGCATGGATGTATTAGAAAAGTCACGTTTGACTTCATCATGGGGACCTGCATTGTGGAAGCAGGCTGGCCCATCTGACCACAGCCTTCTCAGAGAGGAATGATGGTAAAAGAGATCTGTA